AGAAGAAAGCTATTGCAGACAGGTACCTAGCACCACAGGCCAAGGAACTTGCTGGCTTGAAAGACGTTGACATCAACCTTGATGCATCTGCTATCGAAGAGCTGATCAACAAGTACGCCAGAGAATCGGGCGTTCGAAACCTCAAGAAGCATATTGAGAAGGTTTACCGAAAATCAGCCCTGAAGATCATACAAGATATCGGTGAAGAAGCATTGCCGGAAGAGAAAGCTCTTACCGAAGAAGGCAAGCAAGCCATGAACGAGTCGAAGAAGGACGAGAGTGACGTCAAGGACACCCCGGAAAACATTGAGAAGGAGACGACCGAGCAGCCAAGAATTGCCCTCAAGGTACCGAAATCAGTGTCTGTCAACATCTCGCGGGAGAATCTGAAGGACTATGTTGGACCACCTGTCTTCACATCCGATCGGCTGTACGAAACAACACCACCTGGTGTCGTCATGGGCCTAGCATGGACCAGTATGGGTGGTGCGGCCCTCTACGTTGAATCGATCGTTGAATCGGCACTATCAAACTCATCCCGCGCAGGTTTGAACATTACTGGTAATCTAAAACAAGTCATGAAAGAGTCGACAACGATCGCATACTCCTTCGCCAAGTCTGTGATAGTTCAAAAGTTCCCGGACAACAAATTCTTTGATCACGCTAAGATACATCTGCATTGTCCGGAAGGTGCGGTGCAGAAGGATGGTCCTTCAGCTGGTATCACAATGGCGACCAGCCTGCTAAGTCTTGCCATGAACCAGAAGGTTGATCCTCAGTTGGCCATGACCGGCGAATTGACAGTGACGGGCAAGGTCCTTCGTATCGGAGGCTTAAAGGCCAAAGCGGTTGCTGCGAAGCGTGCTGGATGTACGAGGATACTCTTTCCCAAAGATAACGCTGGAGACTGGGAAGAGTTGCCAGAGGTAAGTCCCGACGTCTTCTGATATTATGGTATACGTGCTAACTAAAAACAGAATATCAAGGATGGCCTTGAAGGTCACGCCGTTGACTGGTACAGCGACGTTATGAATATTGTTTTCCCGACCCTTAACACGAAAGAGATTAATACCATGTGGAAGCAACAACTGAAAGAGGACAAGAAGAGGAGCAAGAAGGACAAAGAGAAGGATGAAGATTCTGACGATGACTGATGGCATGTTGGTTACTCTTTCTCTCATGCTACTCCCACTTCAACGTGGATGAGGTTGCGTGCTGCATGTATATAACGGGCACAAGACTGCCGGTATTGGTCCGGAAATAGATGCAACGTATGAAGGTCATGTACAAAAGCATCTAAGGGAGGCATTCCATGGTATGGACGATCTTGAGATGTTAGAAGGTATCTCTACTCAGGCGTGTATGGTTAGGGATGCCAAGCACATGGCGCACTGGGAACAGATCGTATACTCTTGCCCGGAAAGCTCAGTATAGACGACTGCCTCTTCGACAATATCTGTAATGTACATTGGATGCATAGTCTCCGTACCTTCGTTATCGCGTTAACGGGTTGGAACATCTCGAGTCGCATGTCAGTAAGTGCCTTGGAAATGTACTTGTTCAACAAACGAATACGAGTCTCTGTCTTAAACGGGCGAAACATGCTGGACGACCAAGACCTGATGGCTGATAACCGAGTCTTGGAGAGGACGAACACCTTGAGCGGGGCTGGTAAGCCAGGGTTGGCGCCTATCAGTGCGTGTCCAAGCTCCTAAGTCCGCCATCCGGTCCCCACAAAGCACTATCGATTCGCTCACTCAGGCGACCCGAGTCTTCCGTGAATGGTCATCACCCAGCCCTGCAGACGAGGATGACAGCCATGAACTTTGTCACGATGCTTCCAAGGACTTCCTGCATGTTGGCGCAGGCCTGGACGCAGTTGTTCAGACGTTCACCTTCCACAGCCACGACAGATACGAGGCGCTGATCTCGAGTGACAAGCTTATCTCTGTGAGCTCTACATCATTAACGCGGCCGATGTTGTGCGCGCCTTCCTGCGACAGCACTTGAAACACCACGAGGAAGGAACGATCAAGCACGAAACAACAGTTCTTGACACGGCTGCGCCTCGCCACCTTTCGTGTTTCCCACCGCACCTCTCGCGTCACTTTCTTCCAATTGACGACACCTTGAGTGGTTGCTCGTCCACCAAAACACCATATCAGGGTAAAAGAGATCCTTCAGAGGTACAATACACGGGATCGTGCACGAGCACACCGCGGCGACCCGCATACCCACCAACAACGAGAGCACAATGGGATTGTTCCGTTCATGTACGACTCTGATAGCTGCTTCGCTGGCACTGGCGACAGCAGTTTCAGCGCAGACCTTGATTGCTTCCAATGATACAAGTGAGATCCCACCATACGAGTCAAGCCCACGTTTCTGGATTAATGGCACTGATTTCACTCCATTCCGTATCGTCCCACTGGGCTGGTACAGTCAGATATCACAGCAGAATTTCCTAGGCATTGACATCGAAGGCCAATTGATCCACGTCGACGACACTAATGCAAATGATTTCACCTCCGATGCGATCAATTACCTCTCCTGCGATCCAGAAGATTATACTGGGGTTCTTAGTCCAGATGATACATTTCGCATGGTCGCAACTGCCCAGCAGAGCAATTCGATAGTCCTCTACAGTACCAGAGCGAGCCATTGTGACGCGTCAGACCTGAGACAGTTTCACATGGCCAATGGTATATTCTCAACACTTGATCCTGTCCTTGCTGCTACAGTAGCAAACGAGATCAAGAACGAGTCTAGTGGCAAGTCGGCCATCATAGAACCCGACAGACAATCATTCATGAACGACAGCAATAGCAGCAATCAACCCTACTCGGGCTCGCGGACACAACCTGGACCTACTACAGCTGTGGCGATGATAATCCTCTACACTATCACTGGAATCATCACAGCGCTCTTCGTCGTTATCATTGTTACAGGTGCTATCCGTGCACACCGTCATCCAGAACGGTATGGTCCTTCTAACATCGTCGGACGACCACGAAGGACGAGAGCAAAAGGTATTGGACGTGCTATTCTTGATGGTATCCCAATCGTAAAATTTGGGGACAAGAATGAAACGCCCGAGAACAGCAAAGAGGTGGACATTGAGATGGCACCACCAGCCTCGAATACAGAGCAAGACAACAGCAAATCAGCAACAGCCGAACTTACCGAGGCAGGCAAGGACGTCACCGCCACCGGCGCAGTAGCAACGAATGCGACTAATCCCGACGGCACAGATGAAGCAGGACAACTCGGCTGCAGTATCTGTACTGAGGACTTCAACAAAGGCGAAGAAGTGCGCGTCCTTCCTTGCAACCACAAGTTTCATCCAGAATGCGTTGATCCGTGGTTGCTGAATGTTAGTGGTACCTGTCCACTTTGCAGGATTGACTTGCGACCAAAGAATGAACAGCAGGAACAGGTGGAGGTGGAAACTGCACGGCAAGGATCTACGGCAACCGTTGATGCGACAGGTAGACGAGCGAGTGTACTTGACAGCTTCATCATGGCGCCGCCATTGGCGTTCAGGTCAGATCGCGATAGACGTGCAAATACACTCGCTGCTGGCAGGCGCGATACCACTGCGTTTGCCGGCTTACGTTCCGTCGCGTCTGGTACTAGGGAAGACCGCATCGCAGCCTTGAGGCGCTTCAGGCAGCAGATGCGGAATCGCGCTGAAGGTAACACTGAGACAACTGCCGAGCAGCGGGAGCACGAAGAGGAACAGCGTGGTCTGACGACACGGTTAAGGGAGAGGTTCAGAATCCGAACGAGGCGCCAGGGTGAGGAGGAGAGTACCGAGGCACAGGGTGAGTCGAGTACTAGTGCTTCAAGACAGCATAGGCAGAGTGTGGCGGGTATGCCGAGGGGACATTGGAACACGTAAGCTGCATGTAGTCTGAGAAGGAGTAACGGGGTGCACGTGGTACGTTGGTAATTCGTCATGGCGTATGTGGCTATCTGGACTGCTTTGGCTTGTATATTCGCGGGCGACATCAGCGGTAGCATCACGAGGTATGAGGAATGATATTTACGATGTACACCTAAGTTACATGATTGCTGTGAGATGCTCCAGAAGCCACCTGGCATCTTTATGTTTACATTGGCACGTTGCTGAAATCAATATGTACACTTCTCCCAGAATCCAATCTGAATAAAAATGTCCTTGTCGCCACAACCCCATCCTGAAGACACTCGAGTTGGACCACGGCCCCGCCGCTGCCTAGCACGCCCTGCCAACTACTCACCATGTATACCGACAGCGTACACGCCGTCAGCAGCACCAGCGGATTCAAGAGACAGCCTTCCACTGCTGGAGGGTACCTGAAGAACTGCCCCTGCTGAACTGAACGTGTCTGAGTTCGGTTAGTGCGGTGGAGTCCACGTGCTTTCACAGACGACATGCATTCTTGCGGTCACTGCACGCTTAGGCAGATGCTGTGCTGTCGAGGGATACGAAGGAGTCGTATCGCCTTCCCTCGCAAACTGGTTGAGCTGGTAGGTGAAACAACAGGGCAGTCACAGTGGCTGTAAGTATGGAAAGAGCGAGTGAGTGGTGTTCTCCGGGAGACGCTTCAAAGCAGCTTTGCCAAAGTGCAAGCAAGCCCTGGTTCCAGCCAGCTAATGTTAGGCTACTCACACCGTATGAAAATGCTTTCCGGGCATGAAAGCGTTCATCTCCCGGTGGCAGATCGCCCAAGTCCGGGGATAGTTGAGCCTCACAAGCCTAAGGGTGTCAAGTACTCTGTTCTGCTGTGTTTTCGCCCGGTGTTTAGCGCTGCATGTCGGTCGAGGTCGACCCACTTCGCCGCACGATGTTACCTCGGACGAAATCTGCAGCTCGGCCCAGAACTCAGCAGTTGGGATATATATTTTACTGACAGCATTTTCGACCACAAATCCGAACACCGATTCCACATCTGCAAACGGGTAAGCTTCTCTAAACAACTCTCACGGTCCAACCAGCAAAACTAACATATGCGCAAAGTCGTTTAGCTCAGTTGGTTAGAGCGTGGTGCTAATAACGCCAAGGTCGCGAGTTCGACCCTCGTAATGACCAAGACTCTTTTTGCGCTTCGAATGGAGGTGGTTCGAGCAGGTTTGGTTGAGAATTGGTGAAGATATGCTCATTTTTGATTTTTTGAGTCGAAGTGTTTCAGGGGCACCGCATGACCGCGGCTAAGCCAATCTCGGCCTAGCTTGCGCCGGTGCATCCCTTTTTCCATGAACGGCACAACTTTTGAGACTGTAACATTTCTCGGAAGCTCTTAGTATTCCGTATCAAGGACACGCTCATTGTCGACAAATGCAACTTCCATCACAAGAACACCGGGTGTAGTATGAGAACGACCATTGACCACCGCTCAGCGACTGGGCGGAGTTCAGGTGAGCCAGACTACTGATGGTACGGAGCTGTGTCCCAAAAGTAATTACCGCGCTAGCAGGAAGCCGCACTCTAATGACGAGCATTAGGGTTAGATTACAGACCGGTCTTGGTATCGTGCAGTATCACCATCTAGTCAGCGCTATATCTCAGACATCTACAAGCAGTGATAGGGGCCAATGGAAATGATCTTAGGCTCGGGTTGCCCAGAGCTTTGTTACAGCGCCGTCATTACAGTCCACGCTAACGCTAGCGCAGTAAATACTTCTGGGACGCAGCTCCGTAGAGATCTCCTCATGACATATATCTCGTTTTGACCAAATTGATTGCGAGCAATTGCATATCCATCGATTGCGAGGCCTGACGTGGACATCCGAAAGCCTTCGACGTGTGACTGTCGCCTTTGGCGGTGGTGTGTTCGAGTGCTAAGAGATGACTGCTAACTTAGCCTAATACCTGGACCTTGTTCCTGCTGGCAACGACGAACCTGGCCCAGCTTCCTGACCCGGCGACCTCCCAGAACAGGCTCGACATGCAACAGCCAAGTCACCTTCCTTTTGTGCTGAGTCCGTCGCAGAACCAGTGCGAGCTCGGTATCGTTTCACTGTGACCGGCACTCGCTGAGTATCAAGCCGCCTAGCAAAGCTATGAGAAAGACCCAAGTCTGATCTCGGGAGTGCCCCATTATCTCGTAAGCTGATGATCCTGAAGCGTTACGAACGCCCGTATCAAGCGCGATTCCTACGCTTGAACATGTTCTGATAGTGCTACCGGTTGAGTCTGGGAAGTACGTCGGTACAACGCGGGGAGCATATACTCCAGCAAGCAAGGTTAATGTGCCTACAGGAGCCCAGAAAGTCGACATGCGAGTGATCTGCTTGAAGAAGTGTCAGGAGAATCGCCAAGGGCAGACTCCGGGCTAGGCTAAGATTTATGCGAGTTGATGATGCTCAGACCTTCAACTACACAGTGCGTCATGCGAAGTCTCGACCAACAAGTGCGGCATCAGGGTCCTCACCATTGCTCGGAACTGATAGGTATTTCGAGTCAGGCAGTTGCAACTTGTGTTAACACACACCACCAGCGTCCTCCCATGCAATTCGATAACAATTACATCGGCTCATCCATTGGTGTCCATTCTCAATGGACGCGGCTGCGAGATGATGGTGCCCTCAGAAACCCTGAAGCATGAACTGCACTGTCCGATGAGCATAGTTCAAACCACAGCAACAGAGCTCTCAGACATGCTACTCGACGGCAAGCGAAGTAGTGTTCCGCACCAGTGCTTCGTACTGGCGTCCTCCAGAGCTGCAAAACCTGTCTCGGACCTCCGCTTCACGCATGGCCCAGCAGTAACCGCCAGACCTGAGACGAGAGGAATCTAGATAGTTTTCTCCTCTGCAGCGATAAGTCGGACGACATGGCAGGATGGTCAAGCGCTTCGAACACGCCTCGACAACGTACCTGAGTCACGTCCTTGACTAGGCTAGCCGCTGTAAGGGGGTTGGCTTGCGGACGTTGGAGCAATGTAGTAGATGGAGGTGAGCATTCACGGCATTGGGACTCACAGGACGAAATTGGAGTCAAGCAAGTCAGATGTGCAGAAAGCGACCAACGAGGTTCATGGTCACAGGCGATCGTCGCCACCAGTACTCGTGGCGTCCAGCGTCTGCTCGGACTCAAGGTCTTGCATTTTGACTTCTACTTTTTACCCGCCCGAAACCCCACATTCAATCATCGACACACGCAGCATGAATACCTAGGTCCTGACGAATCAACAGCTGATCCCGATGGCAATCGAAATCCCTCCCCAGTCGCCTACGCCTTCAACATCCCCAACCTCTCAACAGCACTCTTAACAGTCTCCTCAATATCCTCCCTCGGCAGCCCCAACCTATCATTCCACAACCCATTCTCACGCATCGAATACTGATTCATCCCACCCAGTGCCCCACCCCCAAAAAGACAAGCCATGATCCCCTCCGTACTCCCGGGCACATACGGCATCTCCGGCGTCGGCTGATACGCCCTGCACGCCTCGATGCCCCCATCACGCTCGATAGTCGCCAAAGCACTTTCACTAAGCTCCTTCGCGGAGATCGGGCTCCGCGTCATACTGCGGCCGGTATACTTCTCGATCAGAGCGATGACCTCGTTCTGCGTCGTGGTGAAGCTGTTGATATTGACGTATTGGTTCGCTGTCTCATCGAAGCGAGACTGGGAAGTCAGACACGCGACGACCGCACGACCGATTTGAGCCATGTTCGTAGCCTCGTATTTGATGTCTCCGCCGTCGATGACGCCGGCCGTCATGTCGGGGATGTGCATTGCGAAGAGGCCAGGGATCGTGAGTGCCCAGTCGAAGAAGGCGCCTGTGATGATTGCGGTCCAGGTTAATTTGCCGTTTGTGGAGAGCGACGCCCGCCGGAGTAAGTCCACGTTCTCCTGCTTTAGGATCGCGAAGGGGAGGTATGTCTCCACTTTGCCGCGGTCGGAGGTGTCGAGGCCGAATTCGCTGGGGAAGAAGCGGGTTACGGTGCCGCTGGCGACACAGGCGGAGATGAGGTGTTCTTGGTCGTTTGTGGAGAAGGTGGCGATCGTGGAGATTAGGACTTCGATGTTGTGCTGTTGCAGGAGGGTGGTGAGGGTTGGGGTGTTGGTGTAGGTGTCTATGGCTAGGACTTGGAGGTTGCTGGATGGTGGGAGTTGAGCGGCTGTTTTGGCGTGGGAGGTGGTACGTGTTAGGACTGTGATGTGGAAGGGGTGGTGCGGGTTGTGGGTGTTGTGGGATTGGAAGGCGGTTAGGATTGCGCTGCCTACGTTGCCTGTTGCGCCGAGGATCATGATTTTGGTGACGGGGAGGGATGGGGTCTTGTCTGAGGAGGATGCCATGGTGCTTGCTTGTTGGGTTGTGTGTGATTATTGAGGCTTTGAAGAGAAAAAAGGGGTAGACTGATGAGGATTATGCTTGGCTTGTGGTGTTGTGCCTGCTGGAGAGGCATGGTAACATGGAGGGACAGAGGTACTTTATACCTTTCATGATACTGAAACATAGGGCGCCTTGTGTGCAAAGACGAGCTCCATTGCTCAGCATCGCTGCTGTTCTCGCAGCTCACGGCCGCATCATTCGAGGCAGGCAGGTTTTGAAATGGAGACTATCCCTCTTTAGTACTAGTCTCCACCGCTGGAGGAGCCACCCAGTCCCTCGCTAACGCGCCCTGCCTTTGTCTGTGGGCCATATTCTCTAAGCATTGGACGTATCTGGGTATGTGTGAGGCTAGTTTCCAATCTAGCTGGCCAAGAGCTGTCGGAATGAGTGTTATGCACACTTCGAAGGTAGAAGATTTGTCCCGAATCAAAGCCTTCTACCTGAACACGAATGCGGCAGGAGCGGATGACCATGCCCTGTTTGAAGGCTTCGACATGGGCTGTCATTGAAGGATCTCACGTGATGTACGAGACCACTTTGAGCCGCTGAAGCCTGTCAAGGCTTCTTGATGGTGTCGTGAGGATAGCTGAGATGTCGGTGTTAACGTCTTTGACTCAGTCAACGCGTCCCCCTAGTTTTCCACGCACTTTATGGTTGGCCAGTAACAGTAACGAAATTAGGCTTAGCGGGTACGATCTACTTTAGAGTGCAATGATACCAGCTTCCTTTTCTACGCAGTCACAGTGATGATAACGCTGCTACTCTACAGCACCACTGTTCGTAGCGACTACTACGTAAAATAAATTAAAAAGTGCGCGAAGTAGGGGTGCGCATCGATCAGGTCAAAGACGCTATAATGAACATCGATGTCGGACTTTCGCCGAGCTCGGCCTAGCAGCTACGGTTCCGCCTACCGGCGCCTGGGAAGGGTCGGTCCTGCTGCTTCACCGTAGCTGCCGGCCGTCGCGTGCTTTTCTCCCAGCTGAACAAGTACTTCCTCCCGGGTTATCATCGTTACAGTAGACACGATCAATATCATCGGTGATATGACCTCTAAGCTGTCACCAGACGTCTATCTGATCATTGACCGAGACGTTTGGCCTCATATGCTCCGACAACAGAGGCTGCTGAGCAATAGGTCATGCATCGTCCTCGCACGTTGCAAGCAGCTCCCTTGACATGAGCAATGCCACGACACGCAATTGGTAGCTGTCTTCGGCATCGCAGGGTGGTCGTGCTTGAGTTAACAGGTGGTCACTGGTTGATGTCCAATTGGTTCTGCCTCTTACCTCCTGAGTATGGACAATCCGACAAAGATACAGCAAGCGGCTCTCCTATCCTCGCTCGAATCTCGACGAAGACTTCTTCACTGTTGCAGACCAGTATTCCCCACATCCACATGAACGACTCCGGCACCTCTCACATAAATGAGGACGAACTCCCGAAGCAGCGACCAATGAATCGAGTACGAAGTCCTTACGTCTGATCTCTGACACGTATCCTCGAAAGGAGATTTGGGTTCTGTCAAGGACGTCAATACGTTGTCGTTGGGATGTCGGCAGTATGACTCCTTTCACCAGAATATCGATGAGCCTGGAAATTGTCACCAATTGCCACGTGCATGTTCTGGAACGACGAAGACGACCGACTTTGAATCGAGGCATAGTATCTGGCACGGGCTCGGCATTGCCATTGGTATCTTCTAGCCATGGCTCTTGACGAAGTTATGGGGAGTACTCCGGGCACG